ACCCAGCCAAGACCAATTCCATCAATCGCTGGAAAGTTGCCGGTGCTGAGTGGAGTCCCATCGGCAACCGGTTGATTTGGAACAGGCCGTGCGGTGTACGGAATGTAGTTTTGGGTTTCGAATCATTGTCCAGAGGAAGCTGCCAGAATCCCGAAAGCAAATCCAATGTGGAGAAGAATCGCGCCCCCGCCAAGGCGTCAAGCGATTCGTCCATCCGTGGGAGTGGGTATGCGTCGGCAACAGAAATTTTGTTGAGGCGACGAAAATCGACGCAAAACCGCAACGAGCCGTCATGTTTTTTTACTAAGACAATCGGCGCTCCCCAAGGGCTGGTAGAAGGAGAAATGATGTCGGCGGCTAACATGTCATCAACGGCCGATTTGACATGGTCCTTTTCGGCGGGACTTAACTGAAAAGGATTCTGGCGTATTGGCGCGCTGTCACCCGTATCAATATGGTGACGCAGCAGATGAGTACAGCCCAGATCGTATTTGTTCCGACTGAAAACGTCGGAAAATTCACGCAGCAGTGTTTTAAGCTTTTGACGTTGTAAGTCTGACAGGTCCGTCGATCCCGCACAAAGCGCCTCGAGCCACCCCTCATCACTGTCCGTATGTGGTCGTGGCAGAGGGGCAGCGCTTACGTGATTTACGACGGGCTCCTCACAGGGCACCGGCGTTGCATGCGCAAGCACGGTCCCCTGTGGAACCACCACCGTCCGCGACCCCACATTGAGGACCGCGATGAAAGGGTCCCCGTCCCCTTTAACGATGGTCTGAGCCGGAATTAAGTGAGTTCCGCTAACCCCGACCCGAGACGGTCCCAGCAGAACCCCCTGGTCCCCAATCCCCTTAGCGAAAGGCCGACGTAGTTTAAGAGGCACCAGCATCTGGGCCCCCGGCAGTACGCGTACCGTTCTATCGACGAGCGCCGGTACCGTCGCGAACGCCGTCCGACCCGCAGAGGGAGATGGCAGAAATGACATACATCGGCCCGACGGGAGCTCAATACAGCTCTGGTCGACTAAGATACGGATCGGCATTTTGGCCAGGAAGTCCGTCCCCAGCAGGCACGGAACCGCCAGCGAGGAGGAGACAAAAATTGGGCCAGAAAATTTGATATCCCCGATACAAATTTGCGCTTGAATTTGTCCAATGATGCCAAGTGAGCCCCCGTTAGCAGCATAGAACGGAACATCAACGGGCAGCAAAGGACGGCTCTGAACAGGAAGAATGTTGTAAATTAATTCCGAAATAATGGTCGCCGATGCTCCCGTATCGACCAGGATGCGCACCTCAACCCCATCAATGTGCCCCACAATGACTGACGACCCCGACGACGCGGCCACAACGCGATGGGCCAACACGGACCACTGGCTGGGTTGGATATTAGTTCCCACAGTGGTACGTGTTGGCGCGATGGTGTGCAATTTCAGACCCCTGTTCGTTGCGGTGCGTGAGTGTGTGATGGGTGTGTGCGTAGGCCAACCATGTGGGGTGCCGCGACTCGCCGGGTTATGTTGTTGGAGCTTGGGAAGAGACGCGGCGTCCTGTCGAGGCATCGCCCCGCGCTGCCGAGGAGACCGGCATCCCGAGGCCACATGACCCCGGAGGCCGCAATTGTAGCAGCGCGGGAGAGCTCCCGATGACTTTGGCTGGTCGAGGCGGCTCCGTCCGTCCCGAGCCGCCCGTACTCCCGCTCTCCACTCCAGCTGACGGTCGACGGCGCAAATTTCCTCCACCGGGAGGGTGGCTGCAGCCACGGCACGGCCGGTCGCCGCCTTGCTGGCCTTTCGTCGCTGCGAGAGTAAGTTGGCGTGGAGGTGTCGTGCGGCCCGGAGGGAAGACATCTCAGCGTCGTCCTGCGCCACGACGACAATGTCCAATTCGTCAGCCAGCAAGAGGATCTTCTCCATCACCATGGCATCCACTCCTTAGTCATCCATTCGCGGGAAAGCCGTTCTTGCCAGTGCCAGGAGAGCTGTGCGATACGCCAGGGGCGACTCCTTGGCACCCCGCTGACGATCGTAGAATAGCTGTCTGCAGTCAGCAGGTGGTCCGTAGACTGAAGCCAGCAGCTGAAGCGCCATCTGCAGCGTGGCGCGCTTGGCTTTCGGCGCCGAGGTGAGAGTGGCGAGGGCATCGCTGTCGAGCATCGCCGGCAGCGCGCAGAGAGCCTCGGCATCTGTCCACTGCGCCATCTCCTGGTGTGCGAGGAAGCGCCGCTGAAAGCCGCCCCAGTCACCATCTTCGCCCACGAACTCCTTGAGGGGAGGTAAACGTTGGTGCAACACAGCGGCCGCAGTCGAAGGTCGCCCCCCGTTTCTCCCGTCACTCGGCTCGGCTTCGGCGTGAACGACGAGTGGCATCGCCGGTCGCACCACTGGTGACGCGCTGGCCGCTCCTGATGACGTAGCAGCCACTGTACGCCCGACGTCGGACGCGAGGCTCAGCCCGGCCACGCCCTCAGCAGTCGCTGTGGCGATGGCGGGAAATTCAAAATCCGGCTCCGTGAAAGTGGCGGGAACCCGTGCTGCCCGTCGGCTGTCGTCGCTCCGTGGCGGTCCACCAGCCCCCAGCCGCGTAATTTGGTCAAGCGTGGCGGCAGCAGCGTAAAGTAGCTCCGCCAGTCTCGCGTGAGCCTGCCGCAGTCCATCTGCTGACGGCTCCCCTCCATCCAGACGCTGCGGTGTGGATGGACCCGGCCCCGGCTGCTCGGCGTCGCCTTCAGCCATCTCGGGCTCAACTTCGGCAGCGGTGTCCTCCGCCCCCGGTTCCCTGGCACGAGCCGTCCGTCGCGTGTCCATGTTCGTAGCAGATCATGTCTAACACCAGATGTAATAATGTTCCAGGAGACTTGGACGCCGGGGTTGGAGGCACACGTATTTATTCCATGTCGGGTACAGCACAACACTGGACATACAACACTGGAGGGGGTATCGGCCCCCTCACCCGTCTAACTGGGAATACACCCTCTAGCTACGCCTAGCCTACCTCTTGGTCCTCCACTAACGGGCTAGGGGAGGCTAGCTAGCCCGACACTGGTAAGTCGGGCTCACGGTACCCGGAGTCCCAGACCAGCTCTTACAAGAGCACCGGCTCTGGCTCTCGGGACCACGCCGCTGGCTCGATCCTGTTCGGCCCTGATAAGGGCGGCGATCCAGGGGAGTCCAGGGCTCTATCTAGACGATCTTCTGTCTTCACTGGTTAGCTTCAACATCTCTTCTCGAGCCCTCTGGCTCATCCCCTTTTATACCCAAATCCCCGCTGAGGGGTGGGGCCCCGGGGGATCCCAGCTCCGAGTCAGCCCCCCAGGCTGCCCGATGCGGATGTCGCTGGGAGCACCTTCCCGTGCACCGACATAGCCACGCCCACTGTGTTTCTTTCCCGTGTGATCCCATTGTATAACAGCCCCTCCGTAACACCCCTACACATACACAATTAATCCGATATACACCTTCTGTTGATAATTTAGACAATTCCTCTTTAGTGCCAGATACCAGTTTTTTTTATTTTGTTTACTGTACCAAATCATACGTTAATGTTTTGCTTTTGCAAAACACGGGCTGATTTGTCAGTTTCTCCTGATATATATGGTATTTTAATTGTTTGAACAATCTTATCGCTTTCAGCAGTGTTGCTTTGCGTTCGTGATTTGGCATTCAGTGCTCTGTTAATTTGATCGTTATTGTAGCCATTCTGTCTTAGTGCTTCTTTAACATGGTTAATCTCTCACACTAGACTTTCACCATCTGACACTGTGTTAGCCCGATGTATGAGTGTCTTGAGCTGGGTGAATCTACATTCAGATACACATCAGTGTGCGTTTGCTTTCGGTAAACGCTGTGTGTTATTTTGCCATTTAGACCATGTCCCAGCAAAATATCTAGGAACGGGAGTCTGTTATTCACCTCCATTTCAATGGTGAACTGGATGGCCGGGTTTTGTTCATTGAGATGATTTAGAAAATCATTAAGTGCATCTATACCATGTGGCCAGACAACGTATTATTAAATAAAATAAAATATATAATACAATTACAATTCCTTATAAGGGAAACAAATACTAATGATAAACAATTGAATGTTTACCAATCTATCATATAATTACAATACCCTCCCCCTCTTCGCCTCAAATCACTGCACCTGAATTAATTAAATGATGACGTCACCCTGCTGTTGCTCTATATGTTGATTCACTCTTCAACACACAAGTGGGCTAAAGTAGTGAATTATTTGTCCTTTGTAAACGTGCCACATTTTCAACTGTTTGGCCGTGTCAGGTGGTGGAGGGTTGACACATTTTTAAATAACGCGATCAAACCCAAAAACCTTTATTATGAATATTTAGGTGATGTTGAATATGTTTAAGTAGTTTTGTACACGAACAATGTCATATCTGTTTCGTGCAACATTTTTCAAGTGATTGTGATGGAAAAGGCAGTATATAAATATAGATTGATTGATTGGCATGGGCATGCTATAGGCGAGAGGGCAGTTAAGACAATGTTATGGCAGCAGCGTGAATGAATAAACTTGATGTGGTGAGAGAGAGTCGGACATAGGCAGAGGAAAAAAATAAATGTGGTGAGGCTGGACTTGAGCAGAGGCAGGGAGTTGATAGATGGGGAGCTTCAGACTGGGGGCAGTAGAGGAGAATGAGAAAACTTGTTCTCCAGGAATACTAACTTCAGGCAATCGACAGAAAGTCTTTGTTGCTTGAGCAGAGTGTGTGGAGGCGTGGAGGGGAGTAGAGTTAGGCGAGCTGGGAGAGGTAGGGGAGCGTGTAGAGGAGAGTAGAGTGAGATCCGAGGGGAGAGGTAGGAGAGTGCGTGGAGGGTAGAGTAATATGAGAGGCGAGAGGTAGGATAGTGCATAGTGGAAAGTGAGGACAGAGGGAGAGGTAAGAGATGTGTGTGGAGGAGAGTATTGTGAGATCAGTCTCTCTATATCTTTGAGGGAGGCATTGAACGCAGAGCCCTTAACTCTGCTACCCCTCCAGCTACGTGAAGAACATGTCAGAGCACGTGCGATCCCAGATTTCTCCTGAAGACGAAAAACCAAGTGTCATGGAAAGCCACTTGCCGTCCCTGGTTGTGTGTGTGCGGGACTGCGCGCTGAAGCTGGAATGGGACGGGAAGTCATGGACTCCCGACGAGTACATGGAGAAGTGCTTCCAGGTCCGCAGGAGCAATTCCCCGAAAAATGAAGAATTCAACAGGGAACGCGACCTCATGTGCGCATATTTTAAAGTGAGTCATGTGTATGAGGATGTGGATGTGCACGTATATTGTGCTTGACTCCGCAATTCTAATCAAACTTGATTTGAAGCTTTCGTGACTGCAGGAATTACTCTTTGGTTCTTTCGGTAAAGTCACAGAGAAATAAAATAATAGAGTACGACGTTTCGATTGCAACAACCAACCGTCATCAGGTAGAACTAAATTTGAGAGAGACATAACAAAGACACGGAGACACGGACAGACACACAAACAGAGAGAGACAACACGGACACAGAGACACACAACATAGATACACAGAGACCCAATGCCTATATGTCAAGGCCTTAAATAGAGAGAGAGGGGGGGATTAGGCTGAAAGAGAAGTGGGTCTGCGGGGGCAGTTGCTGGAGCAGATAAATTAGCATGTCAATGAATCCACCCGAAGCGACCGAGGGGAAGAAGATCGAATGGCCCGATAATAGCCTGGTAAAATGTAGAGAGAGAAATGTTATGTTTGTTTTTCTCAAACAACCTATTTCTCTCGGGCTCTCATAGGTCCATTCGCTCTTTCTCTCCCCTGGCTGCTTCGGGGTGGATTTCCACACATCTCTCTGTGTGTTTGTCAAATTTCACACTTAAATTCTAATTTTAGCAATTTTTGGAGATCGTAATCAACCAGGCTATACGTTAACTGTGTGTTAGCCGACTCTCTGTGTTGCATTACATTACATTTCCAAAAGATTTGCTAAATTTTGTTTTCTCAAACTATTTCTCTCTAAAATGTACCAGGCTATCATAGAGCCATTCGATCTTCTTTCCCTCAGTCGCTTCAGGGTGGATTCATTGACATGCTAATTTCTCTGCTCCAGCAGCTGCTCCAGCAGACCCACTTCTCTCTCTGCCCCCCCCCCTCTCTATTTAAGGCCTCAACACAGAGGCATTTGGTCTCTGTGTCTATGTTGTGTGTGTCTCTCTCTGTGTGTCTGTGTTGTCTCTCTCTGCTTGTGTGTCTCTCTGTGTGTCTCCGTGTCTGTGTTTTGTCTCTCTCTCACATTTAGTTCTTCCTGATGACGGTTGCTTGTGTTGCAATCTCAACGTCATACTCGATTATTTTATTCATTTTATTTCTACGTGACTTTACCGAAAGAACCAAAGAGTAATTCCAAATCACTTACATTGCATCTGATCTCAAATATCTGTAGCAGTTATCACCAGGGAGGATGCCAACAATAGCTTGTATCCTGTGTTACAAGGTGCACATAAGGTGGTCCTTGAAAATTAGCATTATTCTGCCACTAGGGAGTGATGTTACTCTGTGTATTTTTACAATTCAATCATTTGTGGATAATTTGCCAAATGCGAATCATGACGCCAGCATACATGTCTAGTAACACCCAACACAGTAGTCTTCAATAATAGTTTTTTATTTCTTCAATAATTTCCTTTCCTCAAAGTGTCTCTAACTCTCTCACTTCACCTGTATATATCCCTCAAGTCCCTTTCCAAAAGAGTCCTTGACCTTCTGCTTTGCCATCAACCAATCACCTACTTTCCCTAATGGTTTCCAACCGTCCATTTTGTATTTCTACCTCCAATCCCTTCAATTTCCTGCCTCTAACCAATCTCCTTTCAAGCCCTTTAAGTAAATTAGAGATAGCTTGTTTAACTTCCTGATTGTCGTGCACACTGTGTCCATAATGTCGGATGAGTATTTCGGGTTGTGCTTGAATCACTACACGTGTAATGAGATGACTTCTGAGACACAACTTGTAGGGGGTTTCTTATTTATTTCTCAATACTTTAAAGACAGGGTCACGGAATAACATAAGCACTGAGTTACTTCTAGCTGATCCACCCATACAGCCACATCGGCGTCGTACACTATATAGCTGACTGACTATATAGCAACAACAACGATGAAGACTGTACAGCCAGCTGGCGATGCAGCGACGACGATGATGAAGAGATGGCAGTGATGACAGCGACGACAGCCAGGATCCGAACCCCCACGACAGCCCCGAACCCCCGTTTGCCTCTCACTTATATCCCTTTAGCGTGGCCAAGCCCCTCCCCTGGCCACACCCCACTTAAGGAACTCTCTCGCTGGTTCCAGGAGCTTCCAGATCAATCCCCTCATTGACCCTTGGCGCAGTTACACCCCCCTTGTGGTTGCTTATGTGTGCTGTTCTATAACACAACCATACCCGTAATTAGCCCCATTGATCAGCAGATGGCACCCTGTCACTACATCACCTCCCTCCCCCTATGTTTAAAAGATAGCCGTCCCTGCTAATACCAACAACAATTTTACAATTTAGGTAGAACAATTTCACAAACGAGAACCCATAAAATCCCGGTAACAATAACAACAAATTTTAGGGCAGAAAAAATCCGCAATCGAAAATAAGAACCAAAATTTTAATAAAATCCTAACATCCATAATAACGGTAAGGGAGAGAGAGAGAAAAAAATTAAACCCAACGTGCGTCGCCCGCAACCCGACCCCAACGCACCCCCCACACACAGGGAGATTACTATTAACAGAAGATAGCACAATTTGACCGGGTCCTCGACACCAGTCCATCCTTGGGGGCGAACTTTGTCTTCCCTCCGGGCGATGGGGACTTGAATAAAAGCCTTAAAGGGGTCGGCTGCTCCCCTGATTCCTTTGAAGACGTGGACTGAGCTGTAGCTGGCGGTCCATCGCACCCAGCAGGATCCCGTGACTCTGCGTCCTTCAGGGGCTCGGAAACTGTGTGCGGCACAACACAATCCTTCTGACGCATGCTCTCTGTGGCGGATTCCCCCGGCTCGTCGGACACATCAGACACCGGCCGTATAATGCTTGGAGATGAGCTGTCAGTTCGGGAGAAACATATTGCTTCCGTGATGGATGGACAAACCAATGACGACGGCCCACTTGTATACGCACACACTCTGGCCTTTTAATCTCCACCACTTCCACGGGACCTTGTCATGGCCGATGCACTTTAGGGGACGTTCCCAGGGGCACCCGCGGGCAGTGCAACCATGCCCTGTCCCCTATGGTCCATTGAAGCACATGCTCACGCCGCCCTGCGTTCTTTTCATTGGCCACCTGCGCTCTGGCGGTATTTACCCGGAGCCGCGCCATGTGCTGCCAACATACGACTCAGCGTAACTTGCAGGGGCATGGGCAAGGCCGTTTTTCCCTTGCCCCCCGACATGCCCAATTGGACCTCCATGAGGGTTCATTCTTCCTCCCGTATATGAGGAAAAATGGGGAAAATCCAATGAAAGCGTGTGGAGCCATCCTGTACGCCGCCAAGACCCTTGGAACGTGCAAATCCCAATCGGTTTGCGCCACGCTGACCACCTGATAAAGCATAGATGTCAAAGTTCTGTGCAGGAGTTCCACCATACCGTCAGTTTGGGGATAGTTTGGTGACATTCTAAGTTTCTTAGTGCCTAGCGTGTTGCACACCTCACGCAGCAGCTTCGATGAGAAATTCGAGTGAAATTAATCTGAGACATGTAAATGGACTGCAACGGAGGCTGGAACTTTCTCAGCAGCAGTTTTCGGCGTGCACAATCCGTGCAACCTTTTACTAGATGGTACACATCACTCGACATTCCCAGCCAATAAAGATCATGCTGCAAAGTCAATGTCTTGCGCACCCCGAAGTGCAACAACTTATCCTCATGCACCACCCGAGTCAACCTGCCCCGCAGGGCGGTGGGAACCACAATACAGTGATGGTGCAACCCCTCGTCTCACCTCATCCAATAGTCCTTTGTGAAAAACAACTTATGAACCTTCCGTGGGAGCAGATCCTTTGTGCTGCATGAAATTATGACCGTTAAGTTCAAATATAATAATGGAGTGGCAGCCAAGGAATGGGAGCAGATCTAAAAGTACCTTCACCAAAGCAATGGAAAAATGAAATTAGAGCATGTGCAGGTGCGGAGGCTTGGTGAGCCCTTCATTCACCAGTGGATTGACGATAGCCAATGGTATTGAGGATAGTCAGTGCATTGTCGTTGTTAAGTTGTCGTCGTTGTTGTCTTCTTGCAGAAGCGGAAGTGCTTCATATTCCCCATGCCCGCACACCCGGACGACATGGACCAGCTGGAGAATAAACTCAGCAAGACGTTTCTGAAAGTGGCGGAGGAGTTCACCTCTCACATCTACCAGATCATAAAGTACAAGAACATCGATGGGGTCATCCTCACTGGCCAACGTGAGCGCAAACATAAAAAAAATAAGCTTGCACTGCTGTCGTTTCTGTTACATCGATAAGAGTGAAATGCATTTTGTAAAAAAAATTGTTGAAATTTTGATCTACTTCATCAGTTACCACGGTTTTACTTTTATAGCACTCCCATTTATTTTCAGGTTGTACCCCACGTTGTTCAGCCTGAATGTCTGACGCTTCACTCCATGGTGGTGGGAGCTTCTTTGGGAACTGAATCATTCAGTTTCAAATTTCTCACTTCCTGAATAACCTCCCAGCACGTGGAACAAAAACTATGGACATCAATGTTGAAAAACACACAGTACAACCCATAAACACGTCAGAGAAAACACATCAGAGATGATATCACACTTCATGACATCACGTGGGAGACGTATTCAAGGGCGTATAATGTCATTGCTTTGGCCAAAGGGATTTATCCATTTCAGCCTGGGTTTCATTCCCAAACATGTGAGCTATAGTTTGATCAATGGGGTCGATTTTCAAGAGGGTCCTGATGAACAACACTTTATGCAAATATTTATACTCGAGTTATACTAAATTTGTGTTCATATTGGAAAGTCTATAAGACAGTCATCATACATCCCTGTTACTGACAGATAAACAGATTGACAAAGCTAATTCATTTATACTTTAAAACAGTCAGATATTATTGAAATCATAACGACGATGATGAAGACCCTATTGCTTGTTCACGTCCTGTTTTTTTCAGTCTTCCTGCAGGTTGCAGAGCTTTATGTGCAGGCTCATCGTTCGGGCGACATGGCCTGCATCGAGGGTGCACGGAAACAGGTGGTGCTGCTTGCCAACATGCAGGCAATGGAGGACGCCAAGGGGGTATACCAGAGAGAGATGGAGACGTTGGCGAACAAGCTTCCTGTGGAGTACAAACAACTGCAACGACATCAAGAGGAGTGCACAAAGAAAGCGATGGCTCTCTTCTACCGTTGCTCTGTGCTCGACTGCATTCACGAGTTTGAGACGGAGCTCTTGGTGAGTTTGGAGGATGGTGAAAACGTAAAGGTGCAGCCATAAAATGGCTTTTTTACACCACGGCTGATAGAGGGGGCCTCCAATATGAGGATATATCTGGAGAGCTACACTCTAGAGGGTAGTTTTGGCCTAATCTTCCATGCCTGGGACAGATGTCTTGGATGAGGTGGGAGTACCCACATTTACCACACCCATATATAACCTCACAATTGACTGTGGTGTACCCATTTATAATAATGGGTGGACAGACACCGGAGGATTTAACATATGCACCAATGGTTTCAACTACTATGCCAGGAGATCGAATGCCACCTGCATTGGATGTTCATGGTGATGTTAAACGATGGCAGAATACCACAGATTTAGAAAGGGTTCACCTGGAACACATTTTTTCTCCTTATCTTTTTAACCATGTATCAGTTTAACAATTCACCAGAACACCTTCATATTATGCCCGTGTTGGCCTCCCTGCACTGGCTTCCAATTCACATAGAATAACGTTTAAAATCCTAATGTTAACTTACAAAGCAGTGAACCATCTTTCCCCAGCCTAATCATTGACATGCTACACCCATATGTCCCCTCAAGGTCTCTAAAATCTAGGGATGCAGATCTTCTGTCTGTGTTCCCAGGTCGAGGCTTTGGTCTATGGGTGACCAAGATTTTCCCCATGTAGCCTCGAGGATATGCATCGCTCTTCCACGAGATATCAGGATCTCTGAGTCTGTGGACATTTAAAAAATGCATCTTTAAACCAATTTTATGCTTCTACTTATTGAACGTTTAGTTAATTTAGTAAATTGATTCTTAAAATGTATTTATAATATAAAATGTGTATGTGTCTGTGTGTCTGCTGCTGCCTCAAATATTGGAAGAAGAAGTCACCCCCTGTGAGTGGCTGGCTGAGGTGCCATCAGTTGAGGAAGGACTGAAGGCGATCCAGAGTCTGAGACCAGGAAAGGCACCGGGCAGAGATGATCTCCCAAGCGAAATACTGAGGGAGAGTGGTGTTTGTGCACAGATTTCCATACATGACATCATAACAACAGTCTGGGCCACTGGACGGGTTCTGCAGGATTGGAAGGATGCCCTAGTGGCCCCCCTCTTTAAGAAGGGGGACCGCACAGACTGTAACAACTACAGGGGCATCTCACTCCTCAGTGTGCCAGGAAAGATCCTGGCAAGGATTATTCAACATCGCCTTGCTAGTCACGCTGAGGAGAGGCTTGCGGAGCCCCAATTCAGTTTCAGGAAAGGGTGGTCCTGCACGGATGCCATGTTTTCTCCTACAGCCGAGGTGTAGGGAATTCTAACAAGACTTATATTTCTGCTTTATTGACCTGGTCAAGGCTTATGATACCATCAGTAGGCCTGGGCTCTGGGTTCCTCGTGCGTTCGGAGTCCCTGACCCTCTGCTCACGCTCATTAAGGACCTTCATGATGGTGAGCGGGCCCGGGTAAAACTACGTGGCCAGGAGTCAGAGCCATTCCCTGTACACCTTGGAGTGCAACTGGGATGTCATCTGGCTCCCACATTATTTACCATATATTTTGAACACGTAGTTAGTGAAGCCTTCAATAGCTTTACCGAGGAAATTTCCATTTGGTACAGATATAATGGGAGGCTGATCGATGCCCAGGTGCGGTCAAGGGATGGCGCCCTATTGCTCAACCACGTTATGTATGCCGATCTGGTAATTTCTGCTCACTCAGAGGAGAAGTTTGAGACGCTGCTGCTGAAACTGGAGTGTGCCACTAAGAGGTGGGGCCTTACCATCAGCCCCACCAAAACTAAGCACCTGCCTGGGTATTTTGTACCATCGGACACTCCACCCCCACAACTCCCAATCGGTGATGGGGCAGTTGTGGAGAGAGTGGAGAGTTTCCCATACCTTGGCAGTGTGCTCATGACCAGCTCCGGTTTAACAGCAGAGGTCTCACTCTGAATCAGTCGAGCGGCATTATCTTTTCATCGGTTGCAAAACGCTGTGTGGAAGTTACCTGGTCTGTCGCTCCACACAAAGCTTCAGGTCTTCTCAGCCACGGTCATGCCCTATCTTCTCTACGCTTGCGAAACGTGGACCCCCCTAATGGAGCATCTTCGCCGGTTGGAAACATTTAGGCTGGCCTGCCTACGATTCATCCTGGGTTTAACGAGGGTGGATTGTGTGAGGAGCTCACAAATCCTTGAAAGATCTGGGCAAAGTCTCATCGGTGAGCTCCTCTGGCAGGCAAGGCTGTGTTGGCTGGGTCATGTAGTCCGCATGCCCAGCCACCGCATGCCTAAACAGCTTTTGTTCGGCTGGATCGAGGGGGCTAAACGGGCGCGGCATGGGCTAAAGAAGAGATGGAGTGATGTGGTACAGGAGGATGTGGAGCTGAGTGGACTTGCCGATGACTGGCACCAGCGGTGTCAAGATCGGCCTCTGTGGAGGAGGCTCGTTAAGGACGCTACTGGGCAGTTGGAGGCAGTCGCCCTCCAACAATAACGGAGGGCGGAGGAGCGACGCTCACAACAACGAGCGGAGCGCCGGGTGGCTAAAGCACAGCAAGTTGGCACAGTAGGGGGAACAGGTGGTGCATTAGCCAGTCATCTCATTTTTCTCAGTCAGTCGACCCGTGGCACCTGGGTCTGCTCCTTGACCTCCTGCCAGCGGGCTTTCGACACTTCACGTGGCCTCAAGGTGCACATGGCCTAGCACAAGCGTCATGGTGATGTCACCGCCACTTAGTGGTGAATGGCGGATGTTGTTGCTGCTGCTGTGTCCTGTGCAGCACTTTGAGATCCTTGATGAAAGCGCTATATACATGGTATTATTATTACATTGTATTTTATCATAATTCTGCAAGCGATTTTGGTTATGAAGCCACAACCCCACCACCACCCAAACAAGCCTTACCCTGTGTTACAAGGAAGTAACGGGTCCTAAAGAAGAAGGGGTGGCAGAATGACAGAAAGAGCACGGCCTAAAGATGAAGGCAGGAGGGACCTAAGGAAGGGGTGGGGCCTACAGTAAATGTGCCAGTTGAAGAGAGGAAGGGGTGTGATCCAAATAGGTAGGTGCAAGGATGCAAAAGAGAAACGGATGGGCACAAGCATGGGAGAGGTTCGGGCCTAAGCACAGAGTCGCAACATCCCATCGCCTCCCTTGAATGTGTATTCTCAGCTAGGCAGGGTACAGAAACTGGGGTTGCACTCCCTCTATTCGCCAAGTCAGTGTGCAGGGGGAGCAACAATTATATATTTTTTTAGTCAGACGGTGTCAGATTCGGGGCGACAAAGACTCGGCTTACTTGAATTAGGGCACCCTTTCCCTTGGCCAGTCTTGCCTGTTTCAGCAACTCCGCAGCTCCTAGCTTGCCCTGGAACAGAATGAATAGCAGGCAAGGTCTCGGGTTGTTACTCTCCATGGCCGCTCAGTCTTATTTCCTGCCAATTCTGTACACTTGCACATTCGGACACGATAAGACAGGCTGGGGATCCGAGAACCTCTGGGTTTAGGAGGGCAAGAGGGAGATTATTTGGATGAAGGAGAGAGCCGTCTGCAGTGGTCCCCTCTACTCCTTCAGGGAGGCCATACGCCTTGCAGCTGGTTCTCCCTGCTCTTGGCTTCAAGCTTGTTGTATGCTTCTTCTCGCTCCCCGAGTCCCTCCTCGTCTTTTGAATTCAGATTTTCCAGCTCCTCCACAGTTGACTGGAGAGTCATCGTGGCTGCTTCCTGTTTCCCAACCCTCTCGCTGATCATCCCCTAGTCTGTCGTTCAGAACTCGTAGGGGTTCTATGCCCAAATTTGGTCGATTTCGGTGTGCATTCCTGGAGAAGCAAAAGGGCCTCCTCCGTAAGTTCTTCGGCTCTGACTTTACGTGCGGAGGTGAGTGGCGAAGTAGCTTTCGCCTTTTTTTCCTGGGGCTCTGTCTGCCATTGATCAGGTGGCAGGCTGTGTTGGGAGCCAGTCACAGCGTTACTTTAGGGAGCCCAGAGTGATTCATGGGTGAAGTGATAAAAACACGGGTAACTTATAATATCTCTGTTGATCTCGCAGTTATTCGGTGTTTAAGCAATAAGTGGTGGAAAATTTAAATTGAACTAAACGTAAAACAAAAAATAGATAAGTAGATGGTGTTACAGGGGTCTCTCATCGCACCGCTCACTCGGCCATGACGTCACCAGAAGACTTGGAAGTCTTGTTCTCTTGATTTTAAGTCTTTTGTTAAATTGATATTTGTAGGTGAGTGTCTAATCACATCAATGTGCAAATTGTATTGTGTTGGTTCATCTTAAAAGCATGGTCTTTGTAGGAAAGGCAGATGGCATCAGTATATATGAACCGCCTAGAGTTTGTGTATGGTAAGTTATTTGTAGACATATTAAACATCAGTGCCAGGACAGCACGTTTATGGTAGCCCGTTTTTCTCCATCTATCCCAAGAACAAGACTTGTAAGAGGTGACTCAGCCTTACTCATTGCAGCACCAACGTTTTGGAACAGCCTTGTTTCCTCACTTAACATCATACATCTTCCTTCAAAGCATATTCTGAAGCAGATTAGTGCTGGATAAAGCCACATTTGCAAATGTGATTTATAAATTGAATTCGTAACAACGTATTGAGAGTTAGATTTTAATGTACAATTTGTATTAAGGGACTGTGTGTTCTCTTGGTGTAGTCTGTGACAGTTTTTGCTGTTGTTTTACTGCCTTTCCGAAGCTTTGGAATTGATTATGCAATTTTAACCTATATACTATATTTATTTATTTAAGGGGCATCATGGTGGCTAGAAGATGTTGTCTTTCTCGTCTGGTATGCAGGAGTTCGGGGGTTCGAACCCAACTCTGACGCCTGTATATTTGGACGTCGCATGTTCTCCCCGTGGTTGCGTGGATTTTTTTCTGAGTCCTCCGGGTTTTCCCTCCACATTTAGAAACGTGCGTTTAGACAATTTAGATGATTTTACTGCCATAAATGTCCAAATGATAAGCTACTTTGTTGAGCTAGAATTTGTGACCAGGTCGCTTTTGAACAATAAGTGAATACCTCAGTGGGCTTTGTCTGCCAGGTTGGGGATGGTTTAGTTTTAATTGTAACTTTTTAGGTCATTTGTTCAACTTTATTGTACTTTGCACTCTATCATGTTTTATAGTTTGATGTGGTAACGTTCTTACCCCGTGCCCCTACTGGACATCTGTGAAAAAGAGCTTCATAGCTTATTGGATTGCTGCAGTATAAATACATACTCTGATTCGGATGTATCTTGTCCCCGAGGGTAATTCCGAAGCATATTTTTCTTAGAAGCATCTTTTGTTGCCAAGACTGCCCATCTATAAAAAAAAAAAAGCTTTGGAAATACAAGCCCTGTTTTGTCATTTCTGGTTCTATTACTCTGCTAGAAGCCACTTTTTATCTAAATAGTGAGGGCTAGTAATTGGTCGCACGTGGTTATTTCGGGAAAAACCTATATGTTTGAAGTTTATGGTTTGTTTTACAATGGGTCTAATTCTCTTTAAGATGTATCACTCAGGTTTGTAGTGTAGCTGAGGGGTAATTTTAGGTCGTAGCTTGTTGGCATAGATGGGTTCTCACCTGCTTTGTTATTGCAAAAAATATTGAACCTCCTCAATATTTAAGGCATCTTCTTGTGATCCTCGATGACACGTGAATTAAAGGAAGTGGGCAATTTTGCAGCTCATCTTTCCATTGTTGTCAGAGTTTTAACGTCCAGGCCACACTCTTTCCTGGCTTTCATCTTAGAGCATTTTTCATTTTTGTCTGCGGAAAATAGTTGGAGAGCTTAAGATTCACTTGGCCGAGATGATGCCATTTTTTCTATTTTTTTTAAGTTCTGTCTACGTCTGCCTTGTCCACTTGGATTAGCTGAGTGGCCACATGTTTGCATGAACCTCTTCCTCTTTTGTGTTTGGTGGACTTTTGTTTTTTTACTCACAAAGCCTCTATTGTACAGCGTTTCACGCTGGAAACATTTGAGAAAATGGAGAAAAAGAACACGGAGCAATCATACAAGTTGTCCGAACGGCGACTTCGTAAACTATTTCAACACGTGAATGAGATGGACAAGGAATTCATGCAGCCTGGGGGCTATCAGAGATACAAGGCAGCAATGCGGAAACTGGACGAAGAGTATCATGCTACACAGGGACTCGGAGAAGAGGTGACGTACACCCTTCATGTGCATCTTCTTTCTGACGTTTCCTCCATTCTGTAGAGGTTGTTCTTCCTGCTTTTTTCCATGTATTCCTGTCCTGGGACATCATCTAATTGTTACTTCACAGCCCCGCATATACTACTCACCTCTACACACAACCTATATATAGAACTGCCTCTCGCTCTCTGCCATAATTCTTCCATTTTAAGCATCTATAAATATAAACCACTTTACTATTTGGTTCGGTAAAGTCACAAAGAAAGAAAATCACTTAAATAATAGAGTATGACGTTTCGATTGCAACACAAGCAACCGTCATCAGGTAGAACTAAATTTGAGAGACAAAACACAGACACGTAGACACACAGACAGACACACAAGCAGAGAGAGACAACACAGACACACAGAGAGACACACAACATAGACACACAGAGACCCAATGCCTCGAGGCCTTAAATAGAGAGAGAGGAGGGTGGGCAGAGAGAGAGGTGGGTCTTCTTGGGCAGCTGCTGGAGCAGAGAAATTAGCATGTCAATGAATCCACCGGGAAGCGACCGAGGGAAAGAAGATCGAATGGCTCTATGAGAGCCTGGTAAATTTTAGAGAGAGAAATAGTTTGAGAAAACTAAATTTAGCAAATCTTTTGAAAATGTAATGCAACACAGAGAGTCGGCTAACACACAGTTAACGCATAGCCTGTTTGATTACGTTCTACCAAAGATTGCTAAAATTGGAAGTGAAGTGTGAAATTTGACAGAGACACACAGAGAGATGTGTGGAAATCCACTCCGAAGCGGTCAGGGGAGAGAAAGAGCGAATGGACCTATGAGAGCCTGGTAAATTTTAGAGAGAGAAATAGGCCGTTTGAGAAAACAAACTTAGAAATGTTTGGAAATGTAATGCAATACAACACAGAGAGTCGGCTAACACACAGTTAGCGCATAGCCTGGTTGATTACGATCTCCAAAGATTGCTAAATTTGAAGTTAAGTGTGAATTTTAACAAACAGAGACAGAGAGAGAGAAAACAACTTACATCCTCCTGTAGAGGTGTTTCAAACTTGATTTGAAGCTTTCGTGACTGCAGGAATTACTCTTAGTTTTTTTTCAGTAAAGTCATGTAGAAAGAAATTTAATTAAATAATAGAGTACGACGTTTCGATTGCAACACAAGCAACCGTCATCAGGTAGAACTAAATTTGAGAGAGAGACAAAACACAGACACGGAGACACACAGACAGACACACAAGCAGAGAGAGACAAACAACATAGACACACAGAGACCCAATGCTCATTACCAAGGGGACTAAAGAGACAATGTTAGAGCAAGCAGGTTACGGGAGTACCGGAAGGACAGGAGTCCATTGACCTCTCCTGGCCACAACCCATTTGGTGGAGCCAGGGGGAGTTCAAAACCTCTCCTGCCTATTGCAGACTATAGATGTCTATGAAACAGCACGTTGCTGATAGTCTTGCACTGTCAGAAGTGGCACAAAGACCAAACTTACTAGAATTATCATGAATGACTGCGAGTGTCATTCACCGCTACCCTTTTACGCTCGTTTTTCTCAATGTCGATGCATATGTATCCTTTTGCATGGCACAGAGTGGTTTTTGCTGTTCTGTCCTTCTAGAAAGACAACGCCTACAAAGATTTCATGGAAAAAAATAAGGATCGTGGACAAAGTATCCTGATGGTGGACAAGACCCTGACCCAAGTTCAACAAGAAGAACTGAGTAGGATGCGTTTCTTTTCTAACTTGTTGGTGACACGAATTTGTTTGATTATATTTTTCTGAGTAACTAGGATTTCCACGTTATGGCGATATGATATATTGCATAATATTCGGTCCGTAATTATTGCATAATTTGTTTCGAAAAAATATTGTTAATGCACGATTATTGTGGCCAGATTTATTTTGTCATGTTTAAAATCATAAGGAACCCATCAAACACTAAGGCATAATAATCAAAGTAAGTGGAATATCTATTACCCATTAAATTTGCCCTTTGCTGAATGTATTCCAGAGTTATTGATATCATCTTTTGCAGAGTATGTAGACAAGCGTGTTACTAAGAGGTGAAATAATTGTGGTAAAGTGACTGAAAACATTTATTAGTAGATGCAGACATTCGACTTTTTTAAACTATATTTGTACTTGATTTGAAGCTTTCGTGACTGCAGGAATCCATACTCTCTGGTTCTTTCGGTAAAGTCACATAGGTAGAAAAAATAATAAAAGAAAACACGATGTTTCGGTTGCAACACAAGCTTCCATCTTTAGGTGAGAAAAAGTATCTGCTGTTGTGGCTTTATATAGGTGTTGTGTCTTAGAACTAACCACACGGAGACATACGCTAGAGGCAACGCGTTTATTACAACAACTCTTAACAACTCTGCTAAATACTTCTGTTACACGAAGGGGTACGGCCCCTTCCACCTGATAGCCTAAGGGAGAGACAGCCTCCCTTCTAGCGTATCCTGACGCACTCTGGGCTACGCTACACGCTGGTTCCTTGCCACGACCCTAAGGGAAGACTGCATTGACCGACCCACCCAGGGTACGGGACTCGCCCCAGGTCCACTGCAACCCCGGCTCTACCCAGATCCTCGGGGAGGGTCCAGGAGGGTCAGGCTCACCTCTGGTCCGCTACACCTCGGCTCGAGCGAGAGCCTCTGGAGGGTCTCAGGGGGCCCTCGCTACCTCGGGTCCGCTACAACCGGCTCTAACAAGAGCCTCGGTTGAGGGTTCCCGGGTGCTGGTCCAGTCTTCAGGTCTTCAGATGTCTTCAAGCTTGAGTTGGCGAACATTGCCCGGCCTGTCCAGAGGGCCGACCTTTTATCCCCAGGTCAGGGTCACCACTCCCCTCATTACCCCCCCTCTCCAGAAACTTCGATAAGGTCTTAGGGGGTCTTAAATCTTAAGTGGTCTTAAGAAGTGGTGGGGGGCCCACATCCCCCTCAGCCCCCACCCCCTGGGGGGTCTGGGGTGTCAACCTCCGGTCACAGGGGGGCGGGGGTTTGACCTTCGGTCAACCCCTACACACCTCGCTCTGTCTCGGCTGCCCCCTGTCGGCTCGTGAGCGTGGGGTGGCAGGTCAGCTGCTTACATTGCCTTATTATGGCGCAACATCGGCACGAAGGGGGAGGAAGGGGGGGAAGGAGTTTGGCTGTAGGAGTTCACAGGAGAGAGGGGCAGGGTTTGTGACGTGCATGGACGGGTGGGGATGGAGAAATTAGCAAGTAAATGGACTTGAATTAGTAATCGGACAACAAGACACATGGGTGGGTGAGTGAAAATCATAGCAGTTAAAACTTGACGCGGTTTATCACATCCTTCCAATGATTGCTCAATCTGAATCCTTCTTCTCGATTAAAGTTTTGTCTGTGTTTATATATCTGGATGGCTTCATGAACAAATCTCTACCGGTTGCCCGAGGGTTTGCAGAGCACCTTGGTCTCGGAGAAAACAATGTCATGTGTGCCCACAGCGTTGAAACAATGATTCACCACTTGCCGACGTGTTGGTTCTGCCCTGTTTCAAATCCACTTTGTGTTCACGAACCCGGTCTGAGACGCGGCGCTTCGTGTCTGCAGCAGCAGTTAAATTGGTGAAACGAAGCAACGTGTCTCAGACCGGGTTCGCGAACACAAAGCGGATTTGAAACATGGCAGAACCACACCTCGGCGGTGGAGGATAATTGTTTCAACGCTGTGGGCACACATGGCATTGTATTCTCCGAGACCAAGGTGCTCTGCAAACCGTCGGACCACCATCAGAGATTTGTTCATGAAGCCATCCAGATATACAAACACAGACAAAACTTTGATCGAGAAGAAGGATTCAGATTGAGCAATCCTTTGAAGGAAGTTTAAACTGCTGTGATTTTCACTCACCCACCCGTGTGTCTTGTTGTCCGATTACTAATTCAAGTTAATTTACTTGCTAATTTCTCCAGCCCCCACCCGTCCATGCACGCCACAAACCCTCCCCCCTCTCCCTGTGAACTCCTATCGGCCAAACTCCTCCTCCCCCCCCCCCCCGTGCCTATTTATAGCCACAACAGCAGATCATTTTTCTCACCTGAAGACGGACGCTTGTGTTGCAACCGAAACGTCGTGTTTTCTTTTTTTTATCTACGTGACTTTTCCGAAAGAACTAGAGAATATATATTTGTACTCTACACTTAGTTAAGTAATGGAACCAATAATATAAATATCAGTGTAGGAAATGTATTTCTTAAATTATCAGATATCCCAGCCCGAACATGTTTTAGTAAGTGAGTTGTCTTTGCAGAGAGCAGAACATTGGAAAGGCAACGAAAGCAAGATTCGGAGGTTCTGAAGAACGTTTACAAAGACAGGAAATCAGACAAATCACACTTGAAGAATCAGCAAAAGGTAATAATTTCACCACTACTACCACCATCATCATCATAATTACATCCCTTCAGTCAAAGCAAAAGTGATACTGAGGCCAAATTAATGTATGTGATGCTTCTCTTTCCTTACCGAGTGTCACTGCTTGATTCAATCCCAATCCTATATCTTCGCATGCATCTGTCCATCCATCCATCTGGTTTTGACATCGCTACACCATAGCACTCGTTGTGCCTGGATTGGTTAAGGGTAACTGTGGACGTCCTCCAAGAATTTATGTGGAGTGCTTTTGCAAATAACATCTAGAAACCTAACAGCTTTTTATGAAAAATAAGATTTTCAAACACCAAATAAATACCTTTTGCAAGGCATCAAGTCTGCATTAACTACATATACGTGTGGCAAACATGTGTAATACAGCTCGTTGAGGCGACTTCTGGAATCCGTCTTTTATTCAACTTGTGTAGTAAGTATATGGAGGCTTGACGACAGGATCGGAGGCACACTTATTTATTACACCAACACAGTTATTACAGGTCACTTGGCTACAGGGATTTCTCGACAGCTAACCCCTCTAACCTATACCAATTCCTCCACTACGGGACTAGGGGAGGCTATCTGTCCCAGCTTGGTTAAGCTGGGATCCCGGCTCCCTGAGTCACCAGACCAGCTTCGTCTGGGCTCTCGGGGCCACGCCACCGGCTTGCCCTGGTCGGCCCTTATAAGGACAGTGAGCCAGGGGAGCTCTGGGGCCTATACTAGCAGGTCTTCCTTCTTCTCTGGTTAAAGCTGAGTCCCGACCTCGAGCCCTCGAGCTCATCACCTTTTATAGGACTCGCCCCCGAGGGGGGGCCCGTGGGGGATGCACATGCGGACGTCGGTGCGAGCGCCACCCTCGTGTACGACCGTAACCCCGCCCCTTGTGTTTGTTGGCCATCCGTGGCCATGCATAATCACACCTCAACATTCGTAGCCATGCGCAATTACACCTCTACATCACCCCCCCCTGTACAGCTCGCAGCCGTCCCTGGCTGCAAAAAAAACCAGAATAAAGGTGTATCCCTCACGAACCCCCGTGTGTGTGCCTCGCGTAAATTTTTTTCAACAAGAACAAGAGAACCTTAACAAGAACAACAACAGGAAGAGAGAGAGAGAGAGAAAAAAAAATAACCCGACGCACCCCCCCCGAATAAACACCCCAAAACCAACATATATACACACTCCGGACGCCGCCCCCCCCATTGTCCGCAAGGCCCCCCAACGGCCGACCTCACAAAAGTCTGCGCGTTTTGGCGCGCGTTCTCGCGGCGGGCCCGTCACAAGGGCCCGTCCTGGCACGCTCAGTGACGGTTGTTGACGGTCCGGGTGCAAGAGAGTCAGGCGTCGCCGCCGAGTGACCCCCGACCCCTCCGGGAGGGGTTGGTGGGCGTGGGCCCGTCACTCCTGTTTCACCTGGGGACGGAACAGTTGGTGCCAGGTTAGGCGAGTGCAGCGGCGTCGGGGAGTCGGCGAAACCCTCACACGTTTGGCCATGCGTGTGTGTGTGTGAACCACGGGGCGGCGCGATGAATGGTTTCAACCTTGAGGGGTGCACATACCACCGGCGCCTCCCCCATTTGACGCGAACACATTGCGGCCGCAAAACCTGTATGACCTCCATTGGCCCCCGCCACGGCCGTACCAATTTCGACGAGGTTGCCAGCGGCACCTGAGGACAGTGCAACCACGCCCTGTCCCCTGGTTTCCATTTGACCACCTGCACCCACCCCAGCCGAAGCCTCTCGTTCGCCCTCTGGCGGAGTTCAGAATTTTGCACGGCCGCTTCCCGCGCCTCAGACAATTTACCGATGTTAAATTTAACGTGTTCGGACAAGTTAGACTTCACTTGGGGCGCCGAGAGCTTCAGCTGGGTCGCCACAGGGGGGTTAACTTCGCGCCCATACATTAAAAAGAAAGGGGAAAATCCGGTGGCCGCATGGGGAGCCATTCTGTAGGCCTGCAACACACCGGCTATACGGAGGTCCCAATCCGTCTGGGATACTGACACCTGCTGGGACAGCATAGACGTGATGGTCCGATGCAGCCGTTCCACCATCCCGTCAGTTTGTGGGTGATACGGAGAGGTCCGAACCTTTTCCGTACCCAAGAGGTCGCACACCTCACGTAGGAGTTTACCAGAAAAATTCCTACCCTGGTCAGTAAGCAGCCGTTCCGGAGCACCCTTGTCGAGGACATAGCCCTGGACAAAGGCCTCCGCGATGGCTGCTGCTGACTGGTTTGCCAGGGGCCAGGCCATAGGCCATCTCGTGAAGTATTCGACCCCCGTTAATAAATACCTATTGCCCCTGGGCGTAGCGGGAAATGGGCCGAGTATGTCCAGAGCGACGAGCTCGTTAACCCGGGAAACCTTAATGGACTGCAGCGGAGGGTTGGACCCCCTAGCAGGTGGCTTCCTCTGCACGCATTGCGTGCATGACCCCAGGAGATCCCCCACGTCCTTTTCCATGCCCGGCCAGAAGAAATCGAGCTGGAGCGTGGCAAAGGTCTTGTGAACCCCCAAGTGCAGAAGCCGCTCATGAACAGCCCATACCACCTTACCCCTTAATGCAGCAGGCACCACGAGCCGCTGGCGCCGGGTTTTTCCATCCCAGTGCATTAAAAGACCCTGGAACAACCCCCACGAGTCAACGTTCGCCACCCCCTGACCAACCCCCCTGGCGCGACGGCGCAGCGCGAGGAGGGAGGTGTCCTCCATTTGGAGGCGTCCCCATTCCGCGACCGACAACCCCAGCAACGAATCCCTCCCTTCTTGCTCGATAGGACCCGAAGCCGAAGGCGCATCGGCAGCGGCCACGAGGACCGAATCGGTGGTGACGTTCGGGGGCCTACAACGCCCCGAACCCAAGAGGCACGCGCACTCCGAAGTGGGTGGCAATCGCGACAGGGCGTCAGCGTTCGTGTGGCAGACACCCTTACGATATGTGGTGACAAAGTCATAGTCTTGGAGAATCTCCAACCATCGAGACAACTGGCCCGATGGTTGTTGAACCCGCAGGGCGTATTGTAGGGCCGCATGGTCTGTACGGACGGTGAACCGCCGACCGTACAGATACGGGTGGTACTGCTGAATGAAATAAACAATCGCCAACAATTCCCGACGGGTAACGCAGTACCGCTGTTCGGCTGGAGACAGTACCCGACTACCGTAAGCCACCACATGCTCTACGCCCCCAATGAGCTGGGACAGCACGCCCCCGATGCCCGTGTTACTTGCATCTGTATCGAGCAAGAAGGGTTGTGAAAAATCTGGGTAATTCAACGGCGGAGCCCCCACCAAAGCATTCCGGAGGGCGCAAAAAGCAGCCTCCTCCTCCGGCCCCCAATGAAACCTGACTCCCTTGGACGTCAAGGCATGCAATGGTTTCGCAATCGTAGCGAAGTCAGCCACAAATCGTCGATAATACGACGCGAACCCAATGAAACTCCTGACCTCTCCCACCGAGGTGGGAGTCGGCCAGGAGCTGACGCATTCCATTTTGGCGGGATCAGTGGATATCCCCGAGCGCCCAACAATGTGACCCAAATATCGCACCGATTCGCGGAGTAAATGGCACTTCTGCGGTTTAAATTTCAAATTGGCAGCCCGCATTTTGAGAAAAACAGCACGCAACCTCTGGAGGTGTTCCTCGAAGGATTTGCTAAAGACGATGACATCGTCTAAGTAAATCAAACACGAATCCCATTGCAAACCTGCCAAGACCAATTCCATTAACCGCTGAAAAGTTGCCGGCGCAGAATGTAAACCCATCGGCAAGCGGTTAAATTGGAAGAGACCTTGCGGTGTACGAAAAGCAGTCTTAGGTTTTGACTCGTCATCCAGAGGAAGCTGCCAGAATCCAGATAGCAAATCGAGGGTGGAAAAGAATCGCGCCCCCGCCAAGGCATCGAGCGACTCATCCATTCGAGGAAGCGGGTACGCATCTGCCACAGAGATTTTGTTCAGACGCCGAAAGTCGACACAAAACCGCAGTGAGCCGTCGTGTTTTTTCACCAAAACGATCGGCGCGCCCCACGGGCTGTTGGAAGGGGAAATGATATCGGCGGCTAGCATGTCATCAACAGCCGATTTGACATGATCCTTTTCGGCGGGACTCAACCGAAAGGGATTTTGGCGGATTGGCGCGCTGTCACCCGTGTCAATATGGTGTCGCAGCAATTTAGTACAACCAATATCAAATTTGTGTTGACTAAAAACGTCAGCAAATTCGCTCAGGAGAACTCGCAGCTGCGCGCGCTGCGAGTCGGACAGGTCCACTGAACCCGCGCAAAGCGCATCCAGCCATCCGTCATCACAGTCCGAATGCGGTCGCGACGGAGGATCGGTGGATACCTGACCCACGAGTGGTTCCTCATAGGGTACCGGCGTTGCGTGTGCAAGCACGGTCCCTTGAGGAACCACGGCCGTTCGCGATCCCACATTAAGGACTGCAATGAAGGGGTCCCCATCCCCTCTCACCATGGTCTGAGCCGCGAGCAAATCGGGTCCATTTACCCCGGCCCGAGATGGTCCTAACAAGACCCCCCGATCCGCAACCCCTTCATTAAACGGCCGACGCAACCTAAGAGGGACGAGCATCTGAGCCCCCGGAGGTATGCGCACAGTTTTTGTCACGAGCGCCTGCACGGTGGCAAACGCCCGACGCTCCGTGGTGGGGGAAGACAAAAATGTAACGCGTCGGCCCGATGGGAGCTCAATGCACCCCTGGTCAATCAGGATACGGATGGGCATTTTGGCCAAGAAATCCGTCCCCAACAGGCACGGAACCGCGAGTGAGGAGGAAACCAAAACAGGCCCAGATAATTTAATGTCTCCAATGCAGATAGTGGCGCGGATTTGGCCAATAATGCCCAGCGAGCCCCCGTTAGCGGCATAGCATGGCACGTCAACAGGGAGCAAGGGACGACTTTGAACGGGAAGAATGTTATAAATCAAATCAGATATAATGGTCGCCGATGCCCCT